CATCTCAATATTCTCAAAAATCGATTTATTCCATGAGCATACACGATGAGTAGTTTCTAAACTTTTTCCCTAGCTCCCCGGGGAGCACTTTACTCGTGTGTTTTTTTCATAAAATCTTGCGGACGCTGATGAGGCGTCATTTGAATAAGCAAAATAGGGTACAAAAAAAACATCCTATCATAGATGAGAGAGAGAGAGAGAGAACACCAATTCCTACCTTATTTCCCTTGGTTCTCACGATGTTCTCTGAACATTACAGGCTCGATTACAGGATATCCCTTTTCGTGGGAACCAGAACATAAAAAATGTATAACATCAAAACAAAAATAAATAAATTTGGTAACAACAGAAATAATATCACATTTTTCAGTATTGTCAGTATCGCATATTTGAAATATGAAAATGTAAACATACCGGAAGATTTTATGAAAAAACACACAAGTAAAGTGCTCCCCAGGGGGGCTAGAAAAAAATTTCAGGAAACTTTTCATCGTGTATTTTCATGAGATAAATCTATTTTTGGTAAAATTGATTTGACTTGCGAAAAAACCCAGTCCGCAAGATTTTATTAAAAAACACACGATTAAAGTGCTCCCCAGGGAGGTCAGTGAAAAAATCAGAAACTTTTTATCGTGTAGTTCAATAAACTGAATCCAGATATGCAATTAAAACAACGATTTATTTGCTGGAAATAGCCAGTCCGCAAATTATACACACCCCAATTTCTGTAATTTGAAAGTTGTTACTTCGACAAAACTGTTTCATACCAGAAAATTTAAAAATACCAAAAACTAAATGTTGCAATAGAACATTCGAATTTGAGAGGAATGTGTAAAATCGGGAAAGAAATAATTTCGCGTAGTGAATGTTTTTGAAATTCAAACGAGTAAGCGTACTTTAAATGATTGATTTGAAAAATTCTTACTTTTAACATCTAGTGAAAGTCACGTGACTCCGATCTAGCCAGCCATTTTAGATATGTTACTTAAATCTCTTTATTTTCATATTTGAGACTTTTTCTGAAATAAATACCAAGTGATTCGAAAGTTTTCTTTTACATTTGTTTCTCACACCTACCTATTACACTTAAACTATAAGCTTGGGCATGTTTTGAATGTGTATGACACTATATTTATCGTTTGAAGTAATTGTATGTACCTAATTTGGTGTTTTCAGCTTTCATTCATAACCACAGGAGTAATTAAATATTTCGTGCATAGAAACATTTGTTCTTTTCCGAAAATGATCAATGAATAGATGAATTTGTTTGTGGAATAGAATCGGATTATAATTACAAAACTCGTCTCCAAATTGGTTCTGCCATCTTGAATTTGTACGGAAGAATCATAATCTCCGACCCCGAAAACTCCCAAATACAAATTCTGAATAGAATCGGATCATACTTACAAAACTCGTCCGCCATCTTGTATTTCCTAATTTTCATGAAAGAATCATAATCTCCGACCCCGCGAAAACCTTCAGATACATTTTTAATAGAATCGGATCATAATTACAAAACTAGTCCGCCATATATTGGTTCCGCCATCTTGTTTTTACTGATTTTGACTGAAGAATCATAATCTTCGACCCCGAAAACCTTCAGGTATCAATTTTGAATAGAATCGGATCATAACTACAAAACTCGTCCGCCATCTTGAATTTCCTAATTTTGACGAAAGAATGATAATCTTCGACCCCGAAAGCCCCCAGATACAAATTTTGAAGATAATCAAATCATAATTACGAAACTCGTCCGCCCTATATTGGTTCCGCCATCTTGTATTTCCTTATTTTGACCAAAGGATCATAATCTTCGACCCCAAAAACCTCCAGATACCAATTTTGAATAGAATCGGATCATAATATTAAAAAAACTTGTCCGCCATATTGGTTCCGCCATCTTTAACTCTCTAATTTTGTCGAAAGAATCATAATCTCCGACCCCGCAAACCCCCAGATACAAATATTGAATAGAATCGGATCATAACTACAAAACTCGTCCGCCATCTTGAATTTCCTAATTTTGACAAAAGAATCATAATCCTCGACCCCGAAAGCCCCCAGATACAAATTTTGAAGATAATCAAATCATAATTACGAGACTCGTCCGCCATATATTGGTTCCGCCATCTTGTATTTCCTTATTTTGACCAAAGGATCATAATCTTCGGCCCCAAAAACCTCCAGATACCAATTTTGAATAGAATCGGATCATAATATTAAAAAAACTTGTCCGCCATATTGGTTCCGCCATCTTTAACTCTCTAATTTTGTCGAAAGAATCATAATCTCCGACCCCGCAAACCCCCAGATACAAATATTGAATAGAATCGGATCATGATTACATGATCGTCCGTCATATCGGATCCGCCATCTTGAATTTTCTAATTTTCACGAATTTTAATACTTTTTAATATCTCATTCCGGACTAAGAGAAATCCGAAAATAATCAAATATATTGGACTTACTTTTATATAGATAATTAATGTACCTAGATAATTCGTAATTTTGAAATATAAATTAATTATTATTCGTATTTCATAAATAAATGTCAATATTTTCAAGTAGTCACGGCGTGAATCCAAACTCTCCTTGAAAATAATCATCGTCTCGGCTGGTCTCGGTCATCTCAGATATAATAAATTAGCACTACCAATATAGTAGGAGTCTTGGCAACGATGTAAATACCAGTGAATGGACGTAGTAAATATCGATTTTACTACAGCTTCAATATTCTATCCACGATAGACAGCGACATCTGTTGAAACACATTCACAACTCGAAAGACGTTGCCTCTCATGCCATATACAGTGTTTATCTATGGTCTGTATAATCTCTGCCCTATATAATACCTTTACAGCGCCAAGCAGGTCATAAAATGCTAATGAGGGAGGCAGTTCGTTTCTAGATAATGAATAGTACATGTGCTTAGACAAAAATATTTCAATTCGCCCAAGAGTCGTTACCAATTTATTGGGCATCACTGTACATGAAAAATCGCTTTTTTGTTCAATACTCAGTTATTGTCTTCCCATCAATTTCAATGAAACGTTGTGGTTTCAATTAATAGTAATATGAGGCTTCTTCTGGTGCAATTAAATTCAAAATAATATTTCCAGTGGCGTCACAGTGGGTAAATTTATCGATATTTATGGTGAATGTCATTGTACGCCAACGGTTATTCTGAGTTCTATATTTTTATTAGATTGAACTTTTGAAATACTTAACAACTTTTTCATTACTAGCGTAATTTTTGTATACAGCCTTTTTTTTGAGGAAACGATAAAAATTCGATTTGACTCCAAATTTTAATGTAGGCGTGTTTTCAAGGCTTCCATTGAGATTACTCAATAACTCCAATTAGAATAATCATTATAAAAATTTGGGACTTTCTTATAGTCTCCAACCATACTGAATTTTGGCACCATGAAAGCTCATACAGGGGCGTAATGAATAACAATTAATACTTTCAACTTTAACATTTTATTTGCTAGAATATCACGTGAGATCAATTGCTAAAAGTGCATCCCAAGAACTTGGTTTCCTGTTTCGGGTCAGGAGCTATTTCACTTCCAGTCAGCTGCTTACGATCTATAAGGCACAGATCCGACCTGTCCTGGAATACTGTTCCCATATTTGGAGTGCAGCACCCAAACATACCCTGAAACTGTTGAATTCTGTCCAAAATAGGGCAATTCGTCTCGTGGGTGATGCCTCGCTCACGAACTCACTCACTTCTCTGGAACACCGTAGAAAAGTTGGCGATCTGGCTCTATTTCAAAGATATTATTATGGACGATGCTCTCCTGAAATATCAACAATTGTTCCTCTCTTGATAGTCCCCGCGAGATTAACCCGTCGAGTTGAGGCTTCGCACCCCTTCGTGGTCACTTTGGAGACCTGCAGAACATCTCTTTCCAAAGACTTGTTCGTACAACGATCAACGAGGCTCAGGATCACATTTACCAAGGGAGGTATTTCCCTTGGCATATAACCTCCAGAAATCTAAGAAGAACACCAATTCCTACCTTATTCCCCTTGGTTCTCTTGATGTTCTCTCTGAGCATTACAGGATATCCCTTTTCGTGGGAACCAGAACATAAAAAAAACCTCTTGAATTTTGTCGGTGTTATTCAGATACATCCTCTATATAGGGTGACCCGAAATTAGCCTGCCAAACTTCAAAAATAAGGAGAAAAGTTCCAATGAACATGAGTCGAGAAATGTCTCCCACTAAGGGAGCTATGGTTCCCGGGAAGGGACTCCTGAAGATGATATTTCTTGAATATTTCCGAAACGCCATGTGATGAAAGGATGCAATTTGGTACAAGAACCAAACTTTTCATGGTCAATGCGGTGAACATCGAATCATTCCAAAGTTTCATTCAGGAGTGTATAATACACAGGGTGGGACCACACTGAATACCTATTACTTGAACTTTTTCGTATGCATATTTTTTCACAATTCAATCTCGGATTATGAAAATCCTCACCATTTCACAAAAAAAAGGTGCTCTTGTTTCGCATCGATCAAATTTAATGTGTCAGTTTCAAGTGAAATCAATTTAAAAATATTGATGCACTCACATGTTATGCATGACGTTGCCAATTTTCAAATCATAGTGGCTAAAAGAAAATCAAGTACATACTTTCTTTTTACCAAACAATCTCATGGAAGCTTGAAAAAGAGAAAAATGATGATGGAAAAATTACTTCAATTTTTGTGCATTTTTTTTTCATTTCCACTACGCCTCATTGCAATGTTATGCATAATATCTGAGATGTAACAATATTTTTAAATTGCTTTCACTCGATAATAATACATCTGATCGTCACGGAACAATAGTACCTTTTTTCTTTCAGGGGACTCTAGCTTCCCTAGGAGACATTTCTCGACTCATCTTCTGTGAAAGTTTTTTGGTCGTAAAAGCCGCTAGTGGAGTTTAGCAGGCTAGTTTTGGGACACCCTGTATATCATTATATATCATTATTCTCTCCAGGAGCGACTGGAGGAAATCCACCGCGAAAAAGTGACCAGGGTGATGAAGGACTGGTCCGACCTGGAGGAGCGGTACCAAGACATGCGTCGCACCGACCCGAAGAGCGCCGACGAGTTCAAGCAGAGCATGACGCAGCGGTTCCAGCAGACCGTCCAAGCGCTGGAGGAGGAGGGCGACGCCGAGAAGCACCAGCTGGCCGCCATGCACCAGCAGAGGGTGCTCGCTCACATCAATCAGAGGAAGAAGGAGGCCATGACGTGTTATACGCAAGCGCTCAATAGCGCGTTACCGAATGTAAGCATATAATAATCTGACAATTCATAAACTTTTGTTATGTTTCGATATGTTGAGGAGACGTCGCCATTATATTCAGATACACAATAATTCATTGAACATTTCACGTGGGTGTCAAAATTCATGTAGGTACAAGGTACAACATGTGCTATGATGGCATTTATTCACCACTAAATCTTCCTGAAATTCACAGTATTCTTCCTTCCATCTGACGTTTTACAGTACAGTTATAGCCCTGAATAAATATACCTAACTGTTCTTTCAATGGATTTATATGTCCGAGGACATTGAAATTGAATGTTTAACAAGTTCATGCTCGTTTTGTACTTTCTCATATTACTGTTTTTATAATACAGCTGTCTCAAATCTAGCATCCCCGATTCTCCATACAAACGATCACTTGAAAATCTTGCATTTTTTTCTAGTATGAGTTTGAGAAAACGTTTTTGCATAATTTCGACCGGTCTGATATCAGATTTAGATGCTCCTCCCCATCTCAATATACCATAGTTTAGAAGGCTCTCCACTAAACTATGATATATAGTGTTCTTTTGTGCCTGATCAAGAATGCCATTCAGTTGTCGAAATTTAAATAGTCCTAAACGTAGCTTCTTCAGAATAAAGTTCATATGATGGTCGCACCGCAAATGCCTATATATCATTATTCCTAAATATTTAATCTTTCCAAGAGAAGTGGGATTATTGATGTCTATGAAGGATAAAGCTTTATCCAAATTCGAAAAAAACAGGGAAGGGAGGCATTGGGTATATTACAAAGATTTAAGCAACTTAACGAACACCACAATCAAACTAGAGAAAAAGGCTTATTCAGAATAAAGTGGGGAAGTCTAGAAACATGTTGGAGAGAATTGAAGGAACTATTATTACATAAAAAACAGAAGACCTCCGTTTTACCACATCACTTGTCGTCAGTGAATGAGATTAAAGAATATTTCATCAACTCTCGAATGACCAACCCTGTAGACCAAGTAACTTTATCGAATTTCTCTACCCCTACTCCAAATAGCGGAATCAGCGACCTTATCTTCATTACCACTGATAATATCGATGTGTATAGACTCCTGCTCAGTATAAAATCTGAAGCTACAGGTGCCGATAATGTCAATGTCGAAATGTTGTTACGCTGCTGTCCCTACATACTAGAATATGTGACTCATATATATTCAATTTTTGTATAGAGAATAGCTGCTTTCCAAGCATTTGGAAAGAAGCTATCATCGTTCCGCTACCCAAAACCAATTCAACTGAAGAATATAGAGACCTCCGTTCTATATATTGTGCACCTTGTCAAAGGCATTTGAGAAATTATTGTTTGAGCAAATGCGTAACCATATCGAAGATTTCGATATTTCACCCTCAAATCAATCTGAATTTCGGCCTAGCCACAGTTGAAGTTGTGCACTGGTAACAGTAACGACGTATATAGGTCCCTTGATATAAATGAACTCACCATTCTTGTTCTCCTAGATTACTTTAAGGCATTTGATATGAGAGACCATGAGCTACTCACTGCAATCTTAGGCTATGTTGATGATGTCAGAAAGTTGCTCAAGTGCTACCTTAGGAGTCGGTCGAAATCGGTCAGATTGAACAACTCATCCTCTCCATCACTAACATTAAGAAATGAAGTTCCCCAAGGGTCTATTCTTGGACCGGTTCTCTTTATAATTTACACTCACGAGTTCTCCAAATGAATAAAATATTGCTATTCTCACTTCTATGCGGACGACACACAAATTTACTTCTCTTTTGAAGAAGAAACCATCATCGAAGCTAGTAATTTCATCAACGAAGATCTCTGTTCGCTAATTCCACTATGAAATAAATTCTGCTAAAGCATTAACCCCTTGAAATCGGAGGTACCACTCTTTGGAAGCACAGCGCTTCGCGTAATAGATGCTTGGAGCTAGTAAACATTGTGGTTGATAACATGATTTCTGTGAGTGACAGTGCGAACAATTTAGGTAATGTTCTCGATAGCTCACTCAAGTTCAAATCTCATGTGAGTAAAATTGTGCGCTACGGGTTTGGCAATCTGAAAAACCTTTATGCTAATTGGTCCATTCCGAGCAGAAAACTAAGAATTATCCTGTGTGAAGCTCTGGTGCTGTCTCATCTCAACTATGCAGATGTTGTTTATGGCCCTGCCCTTACTAGTACTGATAGCTTTCATGTTCAGAAATTGTAAACTACATGCGTCCGATTCATATGTGGCTTGACCAGACGAGATCATGTTTCGGATAATCTAAGGGATATCGGATGGCTCAGCATGAAGAATAGAAGGCTTCTACATTCCTCATTATTTTTCAAGATAATCTCACAGGAACCAGAATACCTTCACAAAAAAATATAATTTAGGACAGATGTTCATAATCTGAATCTTCGAAATGAAGCTGCATTAACACTGCCTATCTTTAAAACTGTACCATTTAGATCTTCTTTCTCTTTTCAAATCACCCAAATCCTCAATAACATTCTATTCGAATTCAATAGCTGTAGCTTTTCAAACTTCAAGAAACGAATGAAAAAGTATTTGTTTGAAAACCCCCACTCCAATATGAAAAAATAGAACTTGCCTGCACCTTCTCAATAATATGTCGTAAAATGTCGTAAATTGTGAAATTCATATTTAGGTTTGTGTAAATATTATGTATATAGAATTTCATCATAACTATCTAGGAACATGTATATAAATATTCAGACTATGAAGGAGCTCATTCATATCAATGGATGAACTCCTTATTACGGTTGAGTGGAAGAGCAATTTGCGATCTAATCGTGAAATTGAACTCTGTCGTTTAAGAAACATACCTATATGTATAATAATACCTGTTGTACATTTATGCTGACTCAATTGAATCATTTATTATGATTATTATCATTATTTGTAGGTTATTGTATGTACGTTCTTGTTACTATACTTTCCAGACCCACCGAGTCCAGAAATGTCTCCAGAAACTGCTCCGCTCCCTGCACAAGGACCGCGCTCACGCCATCAGCCACTACCGCCATTTGCTGGCCAGCAGCATAGAAGCGGCAGCGCGAGAGCAGCCGAGGATCCTCGAACGTCTCAACGACATCGACCGAACCGTCAACCAGAGCATGCAGATGTTGAAGGGCTACCCCGATTTGTCCGCTAAAATTGGTCAGCTGATGACAGATTACATCCAGGCTCTGCGGTCCAAAGACGAGACTCCCGGTATGTTGTTGGCCATGACCAATGACGCTGAACAGGAAATTTTGGATAAGTACAAGTCGGAGATAGCCAACAAGCAGGCGCAGAAGGAGAGACAGAGGATCCAGGAGAAGGAGAGGAAGGAGGTGAGGAAGAAAGCCAAAACTGAATTGAAGAGGGAGAAGAAACGCATGGATGACGTACAGGAGAAGAGGAAATATGAGTCTGCTGATGAGGAGGTGGTAGAAGAGACATATGAAGAAACTAAAACATCGGTGAGGATTACATAAGATTACAGCGGTTGAATTGTGTTCCACTTTAAACAGCTTCATCATTATTTTTTCTTATTCGCTGAGCGATTTCAAATTTTGCTTCTCTCAATTCAATCAGTCGAGCTACGAGAGTAAAACAGCTTCTATCAGATTTATTCAACGCTCAGCGCTGAATGTTAATAACTTCGTGAAAATACTGGGCATCCTAATCATTGTCGTTCTAAATGAAAACCTAGTTTCTGGTCGAAGGTATATTATCGTTTGTTCATTGCAAAAAGTTTTCCCTCATTATTAATATTTTCAGTAAGGTAGTGACCTCTATTATTCTTATTTCTGAGATGAGATTAACCCGTCGAGTTGAGGCTTCGCACCCCTTCGTGGTCACTTTGGAGACCTGCAGAACATCTCTTTCCGAAGACTCGTTCATCCAACGAACAGCGAGGCTCTGGAACACATTACCTAGGGAGGTGTTTCCCGAGGCATATAACCTCCAGGAATGGGCGTGTACACCTTAGTAGAACTTTTCACTCAAACCATGTTTATAATGATCCTTTTATACATAAATAATGATTGACAACATAATTCGATCGAAAAATTAACTGAAATGTTTCATTTTTGGACATAAATAATAGTACCTTCTGAAAACGGACCCTCTTATGAAGTAGAAACCTCATCTCGTCATAATCAAAAGAAAATACCAAACGCCCGACGGAGACTGAGGCAACTGATATATTAATTCTTTCAACTGTGATCTCGCGCTAATTCACTCTGTCAGAAATCATGTATCATTCATCTCTGTTTGGAATAGTCTTGTTTCAGTATTAGGGTTTTGACGTCACATCATCGCCTCGTTTTCAGAGGTCCGAAAAATCGGGTATTTCAATAATTTTTTATGAAACGTAGGGAGCTCACAGCAAGAAACGGTTTGCAGTGGCGAGGTAGTTTGGGTCAGTTCTATCGAATTATGAAATAATTTTTTTTGTGATATAAGCCCATTTAAGAAGAACACCAATTCTTACCTTATTTTCATTGGTTCTCACGATGTTCTCTGAACATTACAGGATATTCCTTTTCGTGGGAACCATAACATAAAAAAAGATCCACTTTTCTGTCGAGTTATCTGGAAACATTTTGAGCATAGTAACTTTGAATTCATTATAATATATCATACTTTATGCTCATATCGAGAATATCCATCTAGAAATATCAATTCATGAAGGATAATACTTATGTGGCTGAAGAAGAATCTCTTATCTGATTTTGATGAAAGTCATTGTATATGTATCCCAAAATTCTCGTTATTTGTTTTCTTGAGCACCCTAAAATTGACGATATTGACAAAAATATTCTATTGAAACAAATGAGCTTCCGATGTTTTCAGTCAACCAGTGCCATTGACAAGAATCTAGGTTTTCATTCAGAACGGAAGGGTTTGATCATTCGTTCTCTATTTCTCTTACAGATCACATCGTCCACAACACAGGGAAGTACCAAATACGAACCGTTGATGAATACTGCAACTTCTACAGCAGGATATCGCAAAGAAGTTGACGATATTGCAGTCCAAGAAGCAGTTGAACAGGTAGCGAGGGCATCTTCCCATAAGCAGGATGTGATCAGAGTTGCTCATGTTATGAGTCATGACATCAGCCATGGAGAACCGGTATGTTGTCAGCTGTTTTTTTTATGCAAGAATTTAACACTGTTTTACATTTTTTGATGCTCGTGGTACATCGTGCGTACCTATAGGGAGGATAGGGAGATGAGTTCAAGTTCTTGGGAATTCTTCCATTCGCAAAGAATTCCAAAGTTCGCCGTTCAATAGGCGAACGAGTTTTGGTAGAGTATTGTTCGACGTTTATCAAAATTAACGACGAAGGGATGTGCTGACTGGGCCTGTCGAGTTTGTCTGACTGGTATTGCTAGTGATGAAATTATAGCAGAGATTTCTAACATTTCCAGTCGAAGTATCTATAGAAAAGTGAAAGGTCGCCGACCCTTATACGGTGTTCTAATAGGGCCAAAGAGTAAGTGAGTGTGGCATCACCTACAAAGTGAATGGATATCATCTCTGAATCGAACCCCATACATGAGAGCAATATTCTAAAACTTGCTGTATCTGTACTTTGTAGATCATGAGAAGCTGTTGAGGTGATACCGAGCATAGATATAGTGGTCTCGGTGGAAATGGTAGTAACAGGCATTGTTATATACTGAGGTCCTCCTTTTTACAAAAAATAGAGGCTTGAGTTTTGGTGACGTTGAATTCAACTAGGTTGTTGGTTCTCCAGCCAGCTCTGGCCTGCCTTCGTCGTAAGTACTCAGTTTTCAGAAATGAAAATTCTTGAAGAGAACGCAGTATGGAGGGTACTATCGTCTGCAAAACTGTGGATAGGGCAAGTGGTTGATCCCAATAGATCGTTATGATATAGATATAATATTCATATAGAATATAATGGAATATTCCAGGAACAATTATTTGATAGTTAGATGAATTGTTCTATGAAAATTGTTGTTGAACATTCTATGAACATTTAGAATATCCTCATTGTATTCTATGAATATTCTTTGGAATATGCTGAAGAAGATATTTTGTGACCATTGTGGAAACATCATCCATAGAATATTCTGTGCTGTCTGGGACCCCATATAGCACTGGACGTTCTGAGGATGTCCATTTTAAGTCCGATTTAGGTGTGAACGTCCGGGACCTTTTAGAAAGGTACTGAAAACGTACATTTATAGACGCACTGGGTACGTACGATTTGCATGTACTAAGTACGTCCAAATCTGGACGTTATCGACTTTTTTTGGACGAGATCAAATAAATTGTATAATGATAATTGAAATCATTTCATATAATTTTCATCTTCGATCTATGATATCTATTCATGAAGGAACCTGGCAAACACGAACATAATACAATTCTCACAATTCATTTTTTACTGGCCGTACCTAATCATAAAAAATCTATTTGGGTCTTGGTCATCTGATTTTATGAAAGTATCAATGTTAAGGGTCAATCGACATTCGCATATTATCTCTTGTTGTATACTGATTTACCAATAAGTGTTCTGTAGAGTGATAGGTAGAGCATCTGCCTGGTAATCTGAATATTAGGCCTGTGGTGACATACGCGTGTCCGGCGGTGTACTATAGCATCCCACCTACTCATATGAATAGGTTACAGGTGCTGCAGAACAAAGTACTCCGTATTATCACCAACGGTGATAGATACTCTCGAGTGGCAGATCTTCACGAGAAATGTGGTAATTTGCCCAGAATTGGGGAATATATCCCCAACACTGCTAATAAATTCTACAAATACCACCCGGAATATCACCGCAGTTAGGCAACATCACAACATTCGTAAATAACACGGGCTGATATATGCATTCTCGAACAAGTCGGAGACACAGAGGAGGATCTAGACATCACTATCTCCTAAACAAGAAAATAAGATAGTGTCGCGGCTCACGAGCAAAACCGACACTGAACTAGGACAGATGTACAAACACGGAAACGTGGATGTTCATCTGTCCGAGCAAACTAAAAGCAGGTTTTTCGTTTTTCTAAATTTTATTTTTTTCCTCCAAAAATCGAAAACACTTCCTGCACTGATCACGTATAAGCGATTCCCCCGCCCCCTCTGGTTACCCACAGCCAGATCACCTATATAAAGGGCCTAGCCCTAGGAGATAAGTCTCTGTGAGGAACACTCCACAAATCCTCTCACATCCCTTGGCCAACATCAGCCACCTCTAGGGGCACTCTAAGATGCACCATATCATATATGGAATGTTGTGTTAGAAATTTGTGTTGTTTATAACTTGGCAAAGAAAATAAACGACTTTAATACGGTAATCTAACGGTCCTGGGATCGATCTTCGCTAGGAGGATTTTTTTAATGTTAGATCTTTTTTTTTACTATCTGAGTGAAGGAAGGCGAATTCACGTTCATTCAGGTATTCATGGTCCAGAATGGACCTACTGAGGATGTACAAATGCGCGTACCTAGTATGTCTACGGTCCTAACCTGGACGTCCCCAGTACGTATGAAACGTCTTGGCCGGACATTCTCAGTACGTTTCGGAGACGTACTGGTGCTATATGTAACCGTATTGAAAATATGTATCAAAATTTCAGTCATACTCTGTAAGAAGCGAACTGTATGGCCGCAAGGACGGAAAGAGCATATACTTCACCCTGGCCTTCGCCGGCATGGCCCTGATGGCAGCGATCATAGTAGGCGTGGCTGTAGCCAAGCGCAAAACCTCAGCATCCCCGCAACACCAGGGTTTCGTCGAAGTGGATCAAACAGCCACCCCCGAAGAGAGACACGTCGCCAACATGCAAATCAACGGGTACGAGAACCCCACCTACAAGTATTTCGAAGTAAAGGAATAAATATGTGTGTTGAAAGTCCTATTCGTTTCCGTTCGTTGTTTTGCTGGCAGAATACTATTTATTCAAGCAATATGTTTCCCATTTCTCATTGGTATTGCTGATTTGGTGATGTGATATTATTTCAAGGTTTCGTAGTATTTGGATCATTCCATTATGTGTTAACTAAATGTACTTAATGAGAAACTCGATAATAATTACATAGGTATATGCAGAAGAAAAGAAATATTTTGGAACCATGATGTTTTTGCATTTGACAGTCTCACATGACGGGGGTCCCTGAAATGCTTTCCATCTAATCACTAGCATACTATTCCCATCTGAAAATAGGTATCAATCAAAGTATCAAGTTAGGTAGGTAGGTATCAAATTTCAAACTATTCCATTTTCTAACACAATATCCTTGCGATTTGGAACTGGTTTCATTATGGTAGTTATATTTCGAGAAATATGCTAGCTGCAACAGTAGCAGAATTCAAGGCCCATCCTGGAATCACAATCAAAAAAATGCGGGTGGTTGTGTCCAAAGATGTGTGAGTATATAAAAATGAAAGAACAATAGATCAATAGGAAAAATATACAGCGTGACAGAGTAGATTTAAGAGATGGTATTGCGTCTCGAAAATATGAGAGACATTGGAAATGAAAAAAAAAGTTCCGTAAGAAATATCGGGATCTTCTGATGAATCGCTGAGTACCTGAGAGCGAACCAACTATATAGTCGATTCGCATTCGAGTGGCACGGTCAGGGTGGGTTGCGATTAAATTTCTATTTCTTTCGAATGAAGGCCACTGCGACATATATGTTTACGATTTTTTTATAATTTTATTTTTGAGACACATCAAGAAATATTAGAAATCCTAGGTAGTCTTTAGATCAATGAAAAATATGGTAATAAGATCGTCTCATTGAAAACTACCTGATTTCATGCTGAACATAATTGACGTTGAATGGATATATAAATGAACTCTCCACATAGGAGAGACAGATTCAAAACTTAACTGATAAAGAGCATGAAACCGATTCTGCAGATGAGTAGGTAGTTCAGAGAACTTATATAATTATGACTGAACATGAATATCAGTTAGGATTTCACAGAAAAAATATCTGGTTTGATGTGTAAATTCAATGATGTTATTCCCAGTTGAAATATTTAGCGAATCGACCATTTTCCTGAAGTCTTTATCAGATATTGAAGATTTCCAGTAAGATACCCAGATTTCTTGATCAATACAAAACTTAGATTGACATCAAAATTCGTTTATAATTGAGGCAAAAACCTACTACTGTTGAATCATTGCTTGCACGTTGACGGCGTCATCATGATTATCGTTTGTTAAGATGAGGTTGAAGACACATCCTCAATGATCTAATCATACAAGAAGGAAGGAATTTGTGCGCCAAAATATTTCCTTCCAAAATGTGGTTCAACATCATTATTCATAATATGCAGATTGAAATTGAGAAACTTCTGGGATCAGGGATCACACTTGGTGTAAAATTAGGTTTGTTTCGAGATTTGATTCACATTTTCGATATTGGAAAAGTCTGGAGCAAGATTATTCACGCTTCGACCCGCTTCCGTCCCAAATAATATTGAAACTTGAAGATTCAGATCGGAGTAGCAAATAGTATATCGAAGATAACGAAGTAAAGAGTATTTCATCGCCGTCGGAAGACGATGGTTGATCAAAGTGTATAAAATGCTGACTGCGAATTAGATGTTTCATTGGAATCAGGGCCTACCAGCTACATTTATGTAATGCTATGACTATTTGAGAAGCTGTATGTGATTTTTTATCGATGAGGAAGTCTCCTCTCTCTTGATACTGTGGAGATCTATGTCGACAGCAGTGACGGTTCATGAATTTTAAGATGTCAGAGGTGTTTACAGATTTTTAGGTAGGGTTGTAAATTTTGGAAGAAGGTACTCAATATAATACTCAATTTGATATAATGTATGTTCCAGATGAACATTCTTTTCACAACTCACCTGAAATATCGATTAAAAAAAGGGCTGAAAACTAACCCGTGTAGAAACATTCACCTAAGCAAACCAGAAAACATGACTTTCATATTAGTATCGATCAGAGACTTCTGATGAATGAATGAGTGCTAAAAAATCCATTAGCTTATTTCTTGTCATATCTTAGGAAAAAAAGAACTTGTAAGCATGTTGTGTCCTCTAGCTTGCTTCTTTTTTGAAATACAGGATGTTGGAGATTGATTGTTTTTTATGAATCGTTCATAAGCCTCCATGGTGGTTCGATTATTGAGGAAATCTCCAAATTGAGATTATTGAGTAATCTCAATGGGTGTTTAGAGAGCACCTTAATCAAAATTTGAAGTCACATCGAATTCCTCAAAAAATTGGCGAGATATGAAATTAACGCGAGGGATAAGAAAGTTGTATTCTCAATAGTGTCGTGCTATATAATATTTACAATAAATATCAATGAGGTAACCCACTCTGCGACGCCACTGGAATTAGTGATTCGAATATGATTGCACTAAAATGAGTTCCATGTTTCTGTTAACGAAACCACCAAGTTTCATCAAAAATTACAAAAAGACTTTCGAGTAATAAATAGGATAACGATTTTTTATGACAATTATGACAAACTGTATTTCGAAAACGAAGAAATTAAGTTAGGACAAGTGTTCATTCGTTTTTTTTTCTCATAAAATACGGTCATAGAATGATATAGGAGATATGGTATTATGGAAATGTTTTCGGGTAGGTTCACTGTTTCAAAACATTTCATCCGAATTCTCATAATTTTTCAAATAGAAAATCATGTTGTCCTTTACTCTTCACTCTTCAGTGTGATTTGACATTGACATGGATTTGATTTTTGATTCATAGTTCAAGTACAATTCTCATTGAAATTCACTGATCTGATTGGAAATACGGAAAGACAGGTGATTTCTAGAGTTTCGAACAGTACAAGTGGGTTTTTGAACAATTTCGTATCTGACAAGCATGTCAGCATTTTTGAAATGAGCGTTTCGGGAACTCCCTATATTATACTGTATTTATTTTATTATTAGAATTTTGTATTGTACTGGCGCATATAGTGCACCTTTACATTACCTGAATAATACTATATTGAATGTATATTGCGATACCCTCCACATTATAATTAAAATATAAGATTGATGAGAGGCTTGCTTATGTAAATACATTTGTTTTCGTTTTTTCATATAATTTTATTTAGTGTTATCCACTAGCTTCTCCTAGCCATAAAATTTATCATGTAGAAGAATTTAGTGAACATTTTTTTATACAATCAACCTATCTTTATCGTAAATTATACTAAATAAATGATAATTCATAAGTTAGTTCACTAGGTAAGAAATTATCATCAATGATTTTCAACCTATCACACCGATTTCTATTCACTTCCTACTATTTTCTACCTAGCATTGTAGTTATATGTTTTGTGGCCATGTAAGAATGTAAGAGTTGTTTGTAATAAATATTAACTTATTATTTCTATGAGTGTTTAACTGCTTCAACCTACCACCTACAAGCTACCTACCAAATATATTCGAATATGGATGGGTAAACATATTCCCGATATAAAAACAATTCGATGAAACATCGGAACATCACCCTGACATGATAACAAAAATACTAGGCGTCTAGAACCGCATTCCATGCCAAAAACGAGATTGCAATTGGAAAAAAACATATTTCATTCGATTTCACATGCCTATTAGTGGCAGTTTTCAGTTGCAATCCTGATGGTTGTACAGAATATTGTAAAATGAATGCCATCTCAGATTAATTTTCTCACGACTTTACAGGAAATAGTGAAAATGTTGATACAGCACCACGTATATGATTCAAAATCTCGTTCAAAACATTGAAAGCATTCTGAATTCGAGAACTGGCAGTTATCACATTGATTGTTTGGTCAACAATTTCTTTGTTATGGCAAGACATGATACGCCACTAGACCAATGAAATGGGAGTTATCAAAATCTATATCAACTAAACAGGAAGCAATGTTGATAGTTTCATTCAGTAGTTTGGAAAACTGATTTGTCCAATTTTCTTCTTTGATTATTCTCATCTTCTTTTTATGTGGCTTCAATAATATTCCACTCTGCATGTTGACCTTATTCATTTGGAATATGTTCAGCTAATTTAGATTTGATAATATCTATTTTCTTCATATTGTTCCTATGTTCATTCGTCCTTACTGGGAGAGGTCATTGAGATTTTCACAAAATCCTTAATAATATGACACGTCTTGCTATCACAGTAGATTTCGGTGTGGCAGATATTAACTTGAAACGAGTGATGCTTTGATATAACTCTTGCGTTTGTTGATATCTGATGATTCTAGATGATCAGTTGTATCCCTTCATTATGACAAGTGAACTTTTTGAATTGTCATTGGAACTATGAGTTTCGTCTGATTGATAATTGACGTACCTATATATATTGAATTTGTTATCCATTTCAAAAATCTCATATTTTGTTCGTGAATGTGGTGGTTAAACATTCTACCTGTTTGACCAAGATCCAATGGAAGTTCGGAGTTTTGTGTTTATTATTTCTGAAAGACCTTCCCAACGTGTTATTTGTTCTCACTCCTAATTCGATCTTGTTCATGTATCAACTAATTTTTCTGTTAATGATCAATCAATCAATCGAAACTGAGCTTTATTGTCCAAGAAACATTCTTCCTATTGACAAAGCGTGAAACTACCAAGTGGATAGATCCACTATGTCCAATTATTTGTAAAAAGATATAAAAGATATGAACATAAAATATAGCTAATAAATAACACAAATACAAGGGTATAAAACAACTACAAAAAAGCCCCAAAAGCATAACATTTATATCACATACAACGGCAACTAGGTACCTAACATAATAGTTAAAAAATCAAGAAGACAATTATAGAAATAAATTATACATGACTTCAAAACTTTTCGTTGTGATATTCCTGCAGGTCATAGTACGCTTTTTGAATAAGGAATTATTTAACCTCTTTTCTGAAATTTCTCATGCAGCCAGTTCCTTTGAATTGTTCTGGCAAGTGATTGTAGATTTTTCTGCTTTCATATATAATGGAATTTTTTGTTCGAGTCATCTTCGGTATCGGCAGAGACATGTGACTGTTTCTAGTAATAAACCATAATATGATTCACCGGGTTTTTGTTCGATGAATGATGTCTGGTGTGGATCAAACAGACTGTTTCCGAAATAAAGAGGCAGGTGAGAGTGAGAATTTGTTGACTGATATAAAGTGGTCTACAATGGTCCCTTGCTTTATCCCGACACAAATAGCAAATCGCTCTCTTCTGTAGAATAAAGACATAATTCAACAAATTTTGGCTACGCTAAAACCCCAGAAGGCTATGCCGTACCTGATATGAGACTCTATGAGAGAAAAATACGTGTTTCTGGCAATATCAGGACCAAGCTCATTTGATACAACTCTAATGGCATAGCATCCTGATGCTAATCTTTTTATTAGTGACGTTACATGTTCTTCAAACCCTAATTTTCTGTCAATATGTATACCTAGGAATTTAGTACTTGTTCTGTTTTCAACTTGGTGTGTACCCAATGTCAGATTTTCAAACTCGAATTTGAAGGTAATAATATTTGTTTTCTGCA